TCCGAAACCTCAGCGGTCGGAGGAACGCAGGGAACAGATGATGAAGGAGCACTACTGGGTCGAATTCCGTCACATCCCGATTGAGATTCAAGCCGCATTCGTCCWGGAGGTCGCGGAGAAATACGATGTGGTGGACTTTATTGACCCGCTTCCCCCCCACGTGGCCAGGAGAGATGATCACCTAATGTTGGCCATCAAGCTACCTGACGAACATATCTTCTTGATTGATGACGTCATCCCAGTCTGTGTGGGGGGGAAGCTTTATCAGATCCACACCGCCCACAAGCTCAGACCATGGTGTGTCAAATGTTAGGCCTACGGCCATCTTTACACAGACACAATCTGTTCCTGCCACCCCTCACGCATTGCCAAGCCCACGAGGCGCCTTAAAAAGGACCCCTTTGACGACACCAAATGGCAGACGGTTGATACTGGGTACGAAGGGTGGGTCTATATCGACACACCGGGGGGGAAGGGAAAAGATGAGAAGGTCATGGGCTGGTCCTGGGAAGGACAGGGTGACCCGCGCCCGGGATCGCAGCCACCAGCAACCTGGACCCCGCCCAAGCCCCTGGAGATGCACTTAAAAAACCCCCCTGCAAAGGCCAAAAAGCAAGGAGTTTGGGAGGTAGGGGGAGGGAAGAAGAAAGATGATATGCAGAAAATGGTGGAAGGAAAAGGAGGGGGTAATCAGGATAACCTCAACCGTTTTGCATGCCTAATGGACAGGGGGGACGGGCAGGGGGAGCCAGGACAGGAACTCCAAGTGGTGCCCCGAAAGGAGCATAATGGGAAAGAACAGGTCCGAGATCAATCAGAAGAGGGCCCCAAAGAACAAATCCATACCGAGGGGAAAGGGGGGGGCCCAAACTGCGACCGAGCGCCTGGTCCGGCGCAGCCTCTCCAAATCGTTCCGACCAAAGGACCTGCACAACCTCAACCCCTACACGACACGCCGGTCAAGACATCACCGGCAAACATAGAGCGCGCGGCAACCGCAGAGGAAGGGGGGACAAACGGGAGAATCAAGGAAGGGATCGCAGACAAGGAGGTGTTGTCGGAGAGTGGACTGATACGCGGGGAAGGAGGAACAGGTGAGAAGGGTGGAAGCCATAAGGGAACGCGGCTAAAGCAACAAGCAAGAGAAAAGACACGGCAGCAACCGCACACCCCGGAAATTCAGCAAGGGTCCGGACAGCTGGATCAAGAACAGCAACGGTCCCAATCCCAGACGGACCATCCAGAACACGAACAGCAACAGCAACAGTCTAAACAAAAGGAAGCGAGACCACTCCCCCCTGACTTCTGCTCGGACGCCTTTGGGGCACAGCAGATGGAGGTGGACACATCTCCCCCCTCCCCAGATGTGGAAATGGAGGATTGCAGCCAAGATTCAGCTGACCCGGACGCCCCCCCACAAGAGATGGGCCTAGATCAGAAAATCCAAGTGGTGGCTGACTGGATACTTAAGCACCTCCAGTCGGATTGCCCACACGAGGGGGATGAATATGAGGACAAAACGTATGTCGAGCTGGTGGGGCTCTTGAACAACAGCCCATCACTAAGGACCGCATTAACATCCGGCCCTCCCCCCCACTTGACATGGGCAGAGGCCTTCCAGCGGGTACTGGCCGTGGCGCGGAGTAGGTTTCACCCTCCGGTAGCTCATCACCCAGCACAGAAGGTGCACACCCCAGAGGCCAAGGGCAGGGAAGCAACTGAGGAGGGACTGACCTCTTGCAGACTTAAGCTGAGGCAGCTCATAGAACGAGGTCTTTTTGAGCTACCTCTATCCAAACTAAGTGGAGTCCTAGTAGTCCCCCTCAGAAAGGTGGATGGAAAATGGGAGTTAGGCCTCTCCCCGGTGGGGGATTACGGGGGAGTGACGCTACACGGTTGGGATTTTGCGCCTCAGGGAGGGGACCGGAGGGAATGGGACATTGCCTTTACCAACCAAATGTCTAGTTTCATCCCCAAACATTACGCCCCCGGGGCTAGAGCAGGCATGAGG